GATGTTGATGAAACTTGGTGTGAGAGTTCGTAATCACTCAATGATGAACCCTATTTAAAATCAGAAGAATCAAAAAATATTTAGTATGAGTTATTGCCCTTGTTCTTGAAGACGCGTTCAATTTTTAGCTTGTAAACACTCTAGAAGGGACAATTCTTGACGGATTTTGACCAAACTTGGCATGAGTGTTTGTTATCACCCAAGGATAAACCCTATTCAAAATCAAAAAATAATTAGTATAAGTTTTTGCCCTTGCTATTGGTAACGCGTTCAATTTTTAGCTCGTAATCACTCTAGAAGGCACAATTCTTGACAGATTTTGATGAAACTTGATGTTCGTTATCACCCAAGGATGAACCCTATTGAAAAATATTTAGTATGAGTTATTGCCCTTGTTCTGGAAAACGCTTTAAAAATTTAGCTCTTAAACACTAAAAGGCATGATTTTTACTGGATTTTGACAAAACTTGGTTTTATTATTCAGTTCTGAAGATTGAATATTTGCCTTCTAGAGTTTTCACGAGCTAAAAATTGATCAATATTATTCAGTATCGCCCTAAAGAGTTCAAAAGAAGTGTATGACTAAAGGTTGAATATTTCATACTGGTGATTGTTACTGTACTGCTAAATATTTTTATTCAAAATCAAAGCTGCCATTAGACAATCCATTAAAGGAGGAAGAGTCTCTGCTAACAGAAAATCGTTTGAAACGAATAAAATAGATGAAATTTGTAATGTATTAAAGGAATTTATTTCACAAAGTGAAACACGAAATATAATTGATTTATTTAAAGAATATAGTGAAAGTAATAGAGATAAAACGGAAGTTAATTCAAAAATTAAAAAAATAAAATGTACAAAACTAATGGCATTCGACGCTAACGGTTTATATGCCTCCGCCATGTCGGATTTAGACAGCGAATATCCGAGAGCTGAAAGTGGAAGGCCGTTTCTAAAATAAAGAATTTGTTAAGCTCTTTAATGAACAGAAATTGAGACCTAGAACGGCTATTTTAAAAGTCTGGTTTGAATATCCTACTAACATGTTTTTCCAACCCATACCAGCTAAAGATAAAATTACTTTTACGAACAAAGAAGGTAATAAGGAAACTGGTACTAAAATCAGGTTTAGAAATGGTTTCTGTTCAGATGTTTTAACATCGGTCGATATTCAAGAAATAGTGAAATCCGGTGGTAAAATTATTAGAATATAAGATGGTATAGTATAAGAAGAAAATTGTAAATCTCCACCATATAGAGATTATATTTTAATTTTAAGATATCTTAGGAATAAATATAAACGAGAAGGTAATATTGTGGGTAGTAACTGCATGAAATTATTAGGTAATTCCTTGTATGGTAAATCTATTCAGAAGGATATAACTACATCGAGACATCTATGGAGTGAAGCAACTTTAAAAACCGACTTCGATTCACACGTCAAAAGCTATCCTAAAGTAAATGTGAATCAATATATCGTTGAGATAAATGAAGAAGAAAAAGAATTTGACTGTATACCTCCTAAATCTACACAACTAACACCTAGTCATTTGGGATCATTCGTATTATCTCACAGTAAAAAAATAAGGAATAATTTTATTCACGTAATAGATGGATTTTATAGCAGGAAATATACTATACAGATACTGATAGTTTATACATTTCGTCTAGCAATCGGGATAAATTAAATGAAGCTGGGTTGGTGTCCGAAAATGATTACTGTATAGGAAAGAATGATTATGGTGATGGTGGAATTATATGGTTTATATTTAGCGCCAAAAGTTAAATACGATATCATTCTAACTTCCGACAGTATATTAAAAGAAAAGAAAACGTTTAAGGGTTACTCTAATGATAAGATAGGTGTCGAAGATTACATTCAGTTAGCAAGCGGACATGTTGTGACATGACGAATTTAACAAAAGATGGGAAAACAGTTTCACGAATGGAATAGTTAGTCCAAAGGATGATGATAAACAAAAGAAGTTATCTGAATCTCGTTAAGAGAAAAGCACCGGACGATGAAGGAATTATGTATCCTTACAACAACGGAAAAGAATTGAGCATGGATGACAACTACGAATTTGATTTCGATTACCTTACTATTCAAGAAGAGAATGAAGAGTGTTAATTTTTTTGTTTTAAATGAAGTTGAATAACAATTTCGTTACCAAAATCTATAAACCTATTTTTACCATCTTTGATTTCCAGATTTATATCTTTAATTATAAAGGAATTAAGTGGTAAATACGTTGTTTGAAATGGTTTCTCTATAATTCTATATCCAATAGGAACAGTGAATGTTGGAATGCTGTAGATAATCTGACGTTTATATTTGTTGAAAAATCCATTGTTTATCAAATTGCAGTGAATATTAATGACATCGATATCATTCTCGATATTAGCTTTGTGTGGTGCTAAAGTGGATTGGGTGTATATTTTTTTATCAAAGCCTAGTAACGCATTTAATGAATTTTCTACATTGAAATCAAGTTGACTCTTATTTCTCAATATCAATTTTATTTTGTTCAGATTCGAATTACCTTCGAATTCAATATTGTTTCTACCATTTATACTTCTTCCATATTCAGAAAGGTTAATGGCTACGTATTCGTAGCTTCCTGGTAGTAAACGTATTTACTTCATTATATTGTCTGTGTGATCGATGTCCTTCCTTCATTGCCGCTAATATTATTTGTAATCTATTAAGTAGTTCCTCGTTGTTGTCGGATAAAAACGTTATACCTTGTCCAGATACCATATTTTCGAAATCGTCTATTTCTTGTATGATTGGATTGTCTTCAGCATAATCATCTACTTCGTCAACTTCGTACTCATCATCATGTTCAATTGCTCTTATATATAGTTCTTTCGATCTATTTGTCTCGGGTCCTGACTTTTTTTTTGCATTTAGAAATTTTAAGTATGCTACTAAATCCTTATAATCGGCAATGGGAATAATATCCTCACCATTCATTAAATTTATTAATCCTTTTGTTGATGTAAATATAAAGTCTTTTGAATTGTGGTGAATTTGAACTAAATCTTATTCTAAAACCATTAAACAATAACCCCGCTTCATCAATGATTGGTGAAATGCTCTTTCGTAAATCTGGGTCAGGGTTGAAAAATAATGTTTTATATCATTCTAATGTGCTAATTATAAAACCACGATATTCAATCAGTTTGGGGTGATGAGGCGTGGTTTCTATATGAGGGGTGTCTAATTTCTTTTTAATATCCTCTTGAGATTTTAATATTGGTTGAAATAAAGTTTGTAGATTTTCTGTTAATCCGAGTTGTTGTAATCTGTTCTTTTCAACTTGGGTCTTTATTTTATTCTTTGCTTTGATATATTCTGTATTTCTTTTTAAAATACTATTCCAATTATCCATTTTTAAAAAATAAAATTAACATATGCCAATTATAACTCTTTCACCTGCAGGTTTTCTAGTATTAACAAATAAATATCCATGATCATCTGGGTTTCTCCATTGTGTTTTACAAACCTTTTTAAATGTATCTCTATCCATTCCCTGATTTATCGACAGAATGATTTGAGATAAATCTTTGTCATTTAATTCGAATAATAAAAAACAATTTGCATTTTTTCCATCCCGTAAAATATTGGGATTGGTATATGCAGTGACAGTTGTGATGTCTTCCTTTCGTGAAGAATTCTTGTTGAACAGTTTGAGTTTGTTGCGCTACGTCTAAATAATTAACATTTAGTAAGAAAAACTTTTATATCCGTTGGATTGGAAGATGGATTCTTTGCTTTTATGAAGTTATCTATGGTATCTTTTATTTCCACTTCTTCGTTTTCTTCATAATATTGAAATAGATCTTGAACATCTTTCTTTGGTAAATATTCTAAAGCTTTGAGGAATTGATATTACGATTGCTCTGCTTTTGTTGTGTAGCAGAGAATCGAAATCTAAAAGGTTTGGTGTTGTCAACATGTTAAAAGTGAGATGAGTTTTCCCAGAACCGGAATTACTGCATATACACATGAGCATTGGGTTACTAGGAAATATTTCTGAATGTTTGAATTTCTTTCCCATTTTTTATTCTATATGTTTGTTCAAAATTACTCCATCTCCTTTATACTTTGAAAGAAATAATCCTTCTCCATTGCGTATGTTTTTAAAAAATATTCCATTACCCTTATGTTTGACTTTCATTTCTGCTGTGTCGATTTTGTCTATGATACTGTTTAATCCTTGTTTAACAGTTTTCTTGGTTTCTTCCCCAAATCGTTTTCCAAATTCTTTAACTGTTCCTAATATATCTGCCACTCCTGAACCTTTCTTTTCCATATTAGGTTTTTTACCCTCTGCTGCCAACTTTTCCATTGTTAAATTGTGTCTACGTTCGTCGGCAGCTTTTACTGCAGCTGCTTTCTTTTCATTGGCAGCTTTTACTGCAGCTGCTTTATCATTGTTGGCAACGCCTACTGCGTCAGATATCCCACCATTGCTACACTCGCCGCGGTAATACCAGCAAATATCAAAGGTAGAAGAGGAAAAAATCCACACATTCGCGTCAGTTCTTTCTAAATCTATTTCGTCTCTGACTTTACAATATTTGTATTTATCAATAAGTTTTTTAGATATGCTGATTTTTTTACCATTGACAGTTATTACATTTGGGGAAACTAAAATTTCTGGTTTCATTTTTAAGGGTGTATTTTTTACTCAATTCTTATCATTCTTCTATCTGCTATTTTAATTAAATGTTTTGCTTCTTCCAATAATAAACAATACCTGGTTACATCTCCTTGTGTTTTTTCGATATATTTATATTCACTCCTGTATTGAAAAGATCTTCTTGGTGACCTGATAGATCAAAACAGAAGATTGGGTGATTAATTGCAAAATCTGCATATTCAAACTGAGGTGGATTTCCAAATAATTCACACATATTTTTATAGTTTCTATACAATTCATTATAATCCTTCATGGTTGGATTAATTGTTAAAGGTTGGTTAGGATAATTATCGTTGTTTAACCTTACTTGAACTTTATGGATTAAAGGGACTTGAGTTTGGTTCATTGCTATTCTAAAGATATTATTGTTATTCGTCTGTAAGTCTGGTAAGTTCTTGAAACCAACCATTAAATATCTTGCTGGTTTAATAGTGTTGGTGATTGGCCAAGTAGTGGATGTAAATTTCAATTTAATTCACTACATCAAATATATAAAACACCAGTCAACATGACTTCCCATTTCCACTCACATATAAACAGTGTCTCAAGCGTACCTAGTTACTTATTCACTTCTTGTTCTCTCCATCCAGATCAGGTCACTTCCGGGTTACCAATATTACGGTTCCACTAAACACCAAAATGTACTATCAAACATCATATTGCAGGATTGGACTAATCACCATAATGTCAACAGTGGATTCTCCAGTTAAAGTCGGGAGCCGCGGTGGCTCAGTGAGTTAGACACTTGCTCGCTAACCTGAAGGTCCAGGGTTCAATCCCGGCATAGGTCGAGATAATACCTTCAGATTTTTCAACCCGGTTTCCCCCTGTCAGTGATGCAGGTAAGAGGGGCTGACATGGAAAAAGCGTCTAGTCGTTCGGATAGGACAATAAACCGATGCCTCGTGTGCTACAGGCTGTGCACGTTAAAGATCGGCATCATTTGCAACATTTCTTACCGGTTCTTTTAAAACACTTCCATCGCCAACATCGGGTATCCAGCCTGAGACTGAATTGTAATTTTTGGGATATAGAACTGTTTTCAACATTGTATCAAATTCCTCAGGGTGTTTAATGGTTTCTATAGGATTTGAACCAGCTTTCCAAACCATCTCGCTAAATAAAGATGGAAAGAAATTGTTTTCTAACGTTGTATTAGTTTGTGGTACACGATTTTCATTGGGAGTTCCATCTTTTATTTTGAAATCACATCTGAAATAAGCATCGGAAAGAAGTAACCAATTCGATTATGAATTTATTTCGAAGGTATTTCTACCACCATCATTCAATTGGGATTTAGAACCAACAGTGGGTGAGATGATAATATAATCCTCTTTTTACTTGTTAAATGAGTAACGAATCGGATCGTATAATTTAAAGATTGGATCTAGTATTTTATTTGCCATTTTTAAGGTTTAAAATTTGAGTAAAAATTGTGGTCTGTTTTTGCAATTTGAGTTAATTTTAGAAAATAAAATGTAGGGTGAATAGGTTTTTTTTGGTGTAGGAATTTATGGAATGTAGGGTGTTTAGGTCTTTTTTGGGACTTTGTTTCGCACTTTCCCCATGAATGACCATTTGTAACATATTGTAAAAATGATTTTTGAATTTTAAATTTTACAAGCGAATAG